CAGATTGCCCGACTTCTGCACCCCATCATGATGAAGATGCAACTGATGACGACGGAGCCTATTTCGGCGAAGGGCGGTTTCTCCACCCATTTCTCCAAAGGACAAGGACAGCTTCATCTGCAGAAAGCCTACAGGGGCATCCTCCTGAACAACACTATTGGCAAGATCAACAGCAAGTTCCTGAGAGGCCTCTTCCGCGACATCTTACCCGACCTGCTCATGGACACACAATGCGGCGCCGTCCCTCACAAGGCGACTGACTTCATCACTCACACCGCCTACACCTTCTTGGACGACTGCCGTACGCAGGCTCGCACGGGCAGCATCCTCTTCCTGGACTTGAAAGAAGCCTTCCATTCGGTAATAAGGGAGTTCATTTTCCAGCTGCCGACACAGGAGGACGAGCTCGAAGACGTCATCGACAACATCGAGATTCCCATATGCCTCCTCCCCTCCCTACGACAACGTCTTCGCTGTCCAGCACATCTCAACGCCCACGTCGACGACTCTCACCTCTGCGCCCTCGTTGCCGACCACCGCACGGCCAACTGGATGACCGCCAAGGGCACCGACGCATACGTGATCCCTCGCACCAGTACCAGGCCAGGGGTGCCATACTCCGACGCGGCTTTCAACATGCATTTCTCCCTAGTGCTTCAGGCCATCGCCGACGACGCTGAAGGGGCAGAAGACGGTGAGAGCGGCCACCACATCCGCCCCTGCGACAACCCGCTCTTCTCTACGGCCCCTCATCAAGGCGGCAAGCTGACCAACATGTCCTTCGTCGACGACCTCACCGACTTCAACTCGACCACCCGCCACTCCGACATCATTGACATTACAAGAACTTCAGCCGAACGTCTATGCCGTACAGCCTTTACCTACGGGCTCAAGCCACACCCAGACAAGACCAAGGTCATCACCTCCTTTAACGGGACGGGCTCCAACGTCGCACGCAGCAGGATTGCACAGCAGAACATTACATCAATCCAGCTGAGCATCATGTCGATCTCGGTCCAGATCACAGACCAGCACCGACTTTTAGGCACCATCCTAACCAACGGCAGCATGGGCCCCGAGGTGCAGAATCGCATGCGACGAACCGACGCTTCGGCACGAGCTCTTGAGAGGCAAATCCTAAGACGTCGACGCCTACCCCGCAAAACGAAGATCAAGTACGTGCACGCCCTCTCGACCGCCTCATTGACCTTCAACCATCACGTCTGGACAACACTGACCCAGACTGACCACCAGCGCATCTCCAATGCCTACTCGAAGCCCTATCGCACGGCAGCTGGATTACCTAAAGCTAACTCGCAGCTTCATCATTTCACGGCCACCGAAGTAGTAGCTTACACCGGCATCCCCGACTTCGACCACCACCAGTCTGCTGGACGGCTGCGATACTTACCACGGCTTCTACGACACGCTCCTCAGCAGCTCCTCCAACTGCTTGACAACCAGCGACGGAGAAAGGGCTCATGGACATACATGCTTTTCCAGGACTTCGACTTCCTGCGTACATACCTGGACGACCAGCGCTGGCCCACGACCAGCAAGCTCGACCCCGACGTTTTTGCATGGGCTCGCACCACGCCGAAGCACTTCACCAACTCCGTCAACCTGGCCGTCACAAACTACATCCGCGCCTCCAAAGACCACGCCCACGCCGACAAGCTGACCAAGGTGTTCAGACCCGACGGCCCCATTGGTGCGGGCACCACACCATCACGCGACAACGGCGCCAGCAACTTCATCTGCTACGAGTGTGGAATCGTAACCAAGACCAAGCAGGGCATGGCAATACATATCGGACGTGAACACCGACGACCTGATCATCCGCGAAACTGGGCATCGGGTACATCGTGCAGAATATGCCGCCAGAACTTCCACTCCTTCGCCAAGCTAGTGAAGCATCTAACCACGGTCGCCCGCTGCCGACGGTCATGGCACATGTGGTACTTACAAGGACCTGCCCTCACGGAGGAGGACGTGGCCACCAATCAGGCGATCTACGCGGCCAGCATAGTCGACAACAAACGCAGAGGCCGCCCTGAACTATACCACCCTATCCCTGCCCATGCATCCGACGTCACTCCCTTACCCGCCCTTGACCTATCACCTTCACCACCGCCATTCTTCCCGACTGTACCAGCGCTTACACCACCACCACCAGCCCACTACCCTCGGACACCGACCAGAAACAGATCTCTGCTTTACCTCACCAACACCGATAGACACCCGAACGATCTGCTCGACATCACGGACCAACGACTATGCTACAATGGAATGGCGATGGAACGGGTTACTATGACCTTCGATATCTACTCTGTCGATCACCCATCCCAGTACGACGCCCTCGACTCGATCCACCAGCACATTCGACAAGGCGACTTCGCGGGAGTGATGATCAACCTCTCACCCAGCACTTGGATCGACCAAGTCGATGGCGACCCGCACGACAGAAAGGCAGCATCTTCCAGAACAACCACGGACCCTTGGGGCAGAGTAAACCTTGGAGGTGAGGCAGCCGAACGTCGACTGATCGCGAACCACCACGCCCGCCTCGCCATCCACACCTTCCATGCTGCCCACGCTGCCGAAGTACCAGCACTACTAGCGCAATCTGCAGCCCCAGCAGGTCCGTCAGTGATGTGGAGTACTGAGCTGATGTTATACGCTACGGAGAATCTCGCTATGAGACGACCGACCATGGTAGACGACACCAGCAGCCTCTACGCCATCTACTACGGCCTCTCCCAGGAATACGGCAATCCCCTCGACGATTTCGTAACCTCCATTTTGGGCAGTCTGCCCCAGCATGAGGTCGGACGGCAGCCTGCTGATCCGACGACCCGAGCTGGCCGTAACATGGCCCATGACGGTCGAGACAGACGCCCACCACGGCAAGATGGCCGTAGCGCTCAAGGTGGCCGCCAACCCCATCCTGGACGCCCCCTCGAGGGCGAGGGGGGGGAGGACACGGTTAAGGCCTGACCGACCTGCCGCCGCCTGCGTGCAGGCCGTCATGGGGGTGGTTTCCCTTCCTCATCAGGCCTTTAATGAGCCCCCTCCTCCTGCTCCATCTTGCCACCCCCATGCGGCCTCTCCGGGAGCCCCCCCGAAGGAGGAGCAGATCCGCTGCACTTAAAGGCCCCTTAAGTGCAGCGGGCTGTCTTGGCCTCCGGGGACCCCCCCGAAGGAGGAGCAGATCCGCTGCACTTAAGGGCCCCTTAAGTGCAGCGGGCTGTCTTGGCCTCCGGGAGCCCCCCCCCCCCAAATTTTTCTCGGCCCTTTTCGGCCCCCGCCCCTCCCCTTGCGAAGCCTTGGCGGCTTTCCCCTTGTCCTCCTGGCGGGGGTCTGTGTCGGGGGGTGGCCCCCCCTACGCGCTTCGGGCGCGCGCGTGTAGCCCCGGCCGCGCGGACGGCTGCGTCCGACAGGACATCGAGCCGATAGCGATAGCGATAGCGATAGGGACGATGGAGGGCGAGGGAGAAGGGAGGTGAGGAGGGTGGAGAACGGATGAGGAGCAGGAGCAGGAGCAGGGAGGGAAGAGGGAGGAGGGAGGAGGAGGGGGAGGATGAGGCGGTGGGGGCGGAGATTCATGAGGAGGAGGGAGAGGGAGGAGGGAGGACGGACGGATCGGAGAGAGGAGGAATGGAGCGGGAAGAGGAGGTAGGAGGAGGAGGAGGAGGAGGAGGACGAGGAGGAGGAGGAGGAGGGAGGAAGCTAGGGAGGAGGAAGGGGGCGGGAGGAAGAGGAGAAGGAGGACCAGTGCAAACCGAAAACGCATCAACTATGTTGCAAGAATTCCTTCCTCCACGTTCCCTCCCTCATATGCCTCTACAAGACTTTGGTTTTACCGTGGAAATGCTTCATGAGAAGGCAACCGCTTGAGAACCTTCAACCGTGATAAAAACACCGTTCCTAGGACTGCAACGCCGCAAGTCAACATGACTGTTGCGTCCTGACGATCCTGAATCGTGCCAGAAGACCAGCTATCATTTTTCAGCCATACGGGTCCTTGACATTGTTGAATACGGTTAATACGAATGTGCGCGGCGCTCAGGCGAGAGTCACATTTTGATAACCAGCCGCCCTCCGTCTTGGAAGTTGTCGCACGCTGGAACATGAATTTGCTCGGTGCTGAGGCGAGAGCAACGTTTTAAAAGGGACCTGGCCTCCATCCGTGAAGCTCTCGCACATGTTTAAGGCGCATGTGCGCAGCGCTAGGGCGAGAGCCACATTTTGAAAACGGTGCGCCCTCCATCCTTGAAGCTCTTGCAAAAGTTTACGATGAATGTGCGCGGCGATAAAGCGAGAGCCACAATTTGAAAATGGCCCGCCCTCTATAATTGAACGTGCTGCCAAGTTTTAAGACCAATGTGGCCGGCGCTCCGGCGAGAGCAGCATGTTGAAAACGGCCCGCACTCCATCCGTGAAACCCTTGCAAAGTTTTAAGACGAACGCACGCGGCGCTAAGGCGATAGCCACATGTTGGAAGCGGCCCGCACTCCACCCATGAAAGTTCTGCAACTCTCAAGATACAGGATCAAATATTGTGAGGGAGTCTCAGGCGAAACGCCCAGCCCGCTCTACCGACACGTCTCGGGGTGCGACAGAGAGGAGTCATTTGTAAGGATAATGGATGGAGGTGGGAGGCGGGAGGAGGAGGAGGAGGAGGAGGAGAAGGAGGTGGGCGCAGGATGTGGAGTCAAATGGCTCTGGCCTGGCTCACCCTCTGGGACCTCGCGCACTTCATCGTCTTCGGCCAGCTCTGAACCTTTCTGGGGCCCTGTCCTGAATGGCGGATTCTGCCCCCATGATCGCTCCAGGGGGTGGATGAGTTGGGTGGCTGGGGCGGGAGGCAGGAGAGAGAGAGAGAGAGGAAGGAGGGAGGGAGGGAAAGAGGGAGGAGGAGGAGGAAAAGGAGGAGGAGGAGGAGGAAGAAGAAGGGAAGGAGGAGGGGGGGGATACTCGAGGCAGGAAGGGAGGAGCAGGCGCGGTGCTCTTCACGCGCTGCGGGCTCACGCTGGTGGCCTGCGTTCGCCTGTGGGCCACGCCCTCGACGCCCGCGCCGGCGCGCGATCGCCGCCCTTGCGGCCGGCCTGGTACGACCTCGCGGCAAGCAATGCCCCGATCGCGAGGCCATCTTTCTTCCCTGCTCCTCCCCCTCCGCCTCCCTGGTCTTCGTCCTCCTTCTCCTTCGTCCTCCTCCCCCTCCTCCACCTCCCACTCCTCCACCACCTCCCCCTCCTCCTCCTCATCATCCTCTTCTTCCCTCCTGCTCCCCCTCTCCCTTCTCCAACTCCTTCTACTCCTTACGTCTGACGTTTATGGGATTTTGGTTGGCTCGGATCGCAGCGGCTGTCCTCCTCATCCTCCTCATCCTTCTCCTCCCTCCGTCTCCCCTCCTCCCTCCTCGACCCTGGCCCCTCCGTGCCCCGCGTTGCCACATGCTGGCTGCAGGCAGGGCAAGAAAATTAGCCAAGTAGCAGCGTCATGGTTTTCCTCGTCGACGGTTCAGTATCAGCGTAAGCATCCTCTTCCCTCATCCTCTTCCTCCTCCTCCGTGTCCCTGCTCCCCTCTCCCCCTCCCCCTTCCATTGCCTGCCTCCCCGACCTTCGCTTCTAGGCCCAGGCGGCCGCCCGCCGCCAGGAGGAGGGGAGGAATGCGAGGAGCAGGAAGAGTCCAGCCATAGGAAATTGGTTTGTTTTATGTCTAGCAGCTTTAGGACTTGACATCTGCTGCACGCCCCATTATATGACATCCCATTGCTTCCCCATTCCATCCATCCCCCTCCCCTACCCATGGCTGCTGGCGAGAACGGGGGCGGGAGGAATAGCATCGGGGGGGCGCACATGCCCACACGAATGTGTGATATCATTTCCCAGCCCTCCTGTGTTGGACACTCGTCCTGCTCTGTCCTCCTCCAGCCTCGCCCCTCTTCTTCTTTCTGCCTCCTGTCGCTTGCTTTTTTTCGCTGGGCGCTGCCAGCGCTGCTCGCTGGGAGCTGCCAGCGCTTTCGTGGGCTCCTGGGAAGCCCCATGACGCTGCCAGCTGCGCAACCATCGACGCTTCCGTGAGCCCGTGGGCGATGGGGTTCTAGCGGAGCCGGCCTTGCCCGCACCCACATGAGACCTCGCCTCCGTGGGTGGTGCCAACTGCGCTGCGCAGGTCTCGCAACTTGCGGCGGTCAGGAGCGTTTGCTCAGCCCGTCGCGCCGCTGGTTCTGGCCCACCACGCTACGGCGCGACACGCCAACCACTTCCCGATTCCCTGGCGCCAGCGTCCCGAGCCTTGCACAGCCTCCCGCCCCGAGGAGCTGAGCTGCACGCCGTCAGCTCGCAGCGCCGGGGCCGCCGCCGCGACACGCTGAGCAAAAATTTCCGACCGCAGACCTCGCCCTCTTTGGGTGGCGCCAGCAGCGCAGCCGCCGCCGCTTTCGCGAGCCTGCGGGCGGGCCTGCGGAGCGCGGCCGTGCCCAGACCAAAACCAGATGAGACCTCTTTCCCCGTGGGCCGGCTGTGCAAAGCGCCGCTGTCTCCATGATCTCTGGGGGGCATGGATGCGGCGGAGCGCGCTACTACCCAGGCCCCACGGGTCCAGCGGAGCGCGGTATTACCCAGGCCTCACTGGGCGTCCCACGAGTGGGCTCCCAATGTAGCCTTGCGCTCGGGCCATCATGCCCTTTCAACAGTTCGTTCGTTCGGGACGTGCCCGTTGATGTTGCGACACTTTGCAGACGGTTGGGCGCGTCCTTGGTCCGTCACCTGCACACCCTTCTCCCTGGCCCGAGCTCTAACCCGCACCGCGCCTTCAGCATCGAACGCGTCGTTTTCGAAACCCACGGATCCCTAAGGTTATTCTGCGCGGTGCTCAAGGACACAAGACGTGCATATAGAATGTGAGCGATCGCGGTGGGTCTAATTAGCGTACAGATTGGCGTTATTGCATATACTCGCGTTCAGTAATGATTATCATCGTATCGTTCCCTTTCCATCATCATTGCTCCCTCTCCCCTCCTGCGGCTCATCGTTCCGCTCCTCCTCTACATTTCTACGTTTCACATGATCACTCACGATAGCTTCGAACAGACGCCAGAACTCCACGAGCCCGACCCCAATCCCGATCCACATTCTTCCAGGCCCATGCCACGGAGTCGCGTGTTGCGGCCAGGCCGATCGCCCGGCGTCACGCACTGAGGACACGTTGCTGGCCGACCCAGCGCGCTTCGCCTTCTGCGACTGCGCGGTCGTGGCAATGCTGCTGCTCCGCCGCGGCGACCTCCTACAGCGCTCCAGCATCAGCGGGCTGGCCGAGATGTTGCTGGAGATCCCCAGCAAGGCCGACGGCGTGGCCGAGTTGTGTTTTCGTGGATGGGTTGTGGCATCGGCACGGGGAGGGGGAGGCACACACGAGTTTGCAGCTTGCAGAGTGTACGCCTGCAACCTCGTGCCAGCTCACATGTGAGAAGTATGTTGCCACACGTTATCGTTTTTCGCTCCTCCCTGATAGCACAGGCAAAGGGACAAAGGGGGAGAGGGGCGGAGGATGAGCACGAGGACGAGAACGAGGAGGGGGTCGGGGGTGGGGGGTAGGTGGGGAGGACGCGGGAGGGGGGGTGGGGCTGGGGACCGCGATCGCAGGACGGAAGTAGGGGCCAGGGGACTGGGAGAGGGAGACGGAGGCTGACAAAAGAGGGCCGGTCGATGAGATCGATGTGATCGACGCGGAAGCGACGAGAGAGGATGGGGAGAAGGAAGAGAAGGGCAACGGCGAGGGGGGGGAGTTAGATGAGGGGACCGGGAGAAGGAGAAGAGGGCGGGGGGGGAAGGGGGGAGGGGCGACGGATGAGCAAAGAAGGTGAGGAGGAACAAGAGGAGGCGGGGGAGGCGGAGGAGGAGGGGAAGACGGATGAGGAGGAGGGGGAGCTTCAGTGGTTGCACCAGCAGCAGGAGAAGGCGGATGAGAAGCAGGATGGGGGGGGGGCGGGGGCTTGTACGCCCCCCCCAAATATGGTCCTCGCGTCTGGCCTCCCAGTGTGGCCCCAACGTGAATTGCCCCTCCCAGTAGATGGCCCCAGAGTTCTCACCCACCCTGACGAGAAGCACGGGAAGGATGGGGGGGAAGAGGGGTGTGGGCACGATGAGACAGATGCGATGAGAATAAGATGGGGAGGCGAGGAGGAGGGTGGAGAGAAGGAAGACGACGATCGGGCGAATGAGGGGGGAGGTAGGGTGAGGACGGGATAGAGTGTGAGGGGGCAAGGAAAACCAGCACGCGCAGTTGGATGAAGCAGCGCGCCCTCTGGTCACGAAATCCATTTCCTGATGGGCCAGTTCAAGCACTTTTCTGTAATTTGACGCTACGACGAGCGCCCACCACTGGAGACGTGATGGCCCGCATGGAGAGCTGCACTGCGAGAGCCTCGCGCGTGTGTTTTGAGATGCGCATCCACGGCTCAATGAGTGTTCGATTGCGTACCGCCTCCATCCGTCCGCTTCGACCTCCTCCGCGGCCGCCTTCCACCTCCCGCCGCCCACTTGTGTAGAATTCGCCCTGCGGCGACCCAGCGTGGGCTTCGACTGTGCCGCACCGTGCCTTGCGACCGCAGGCGCTGCGACAACAAACGTGCTCCGTTCGAAACCACAACGGGCTACCCAGAGAACCGCCATCCGTCGATGTTGTAGCCTGTATCGTCAGGAATGTTTGCTTAGCGTGTCGCTCCGCCAGGTCTAGCCCACCACGCTTGGGCGCAACACACTATCCACGTCCCAGTCCCTGAGCGTCAACGTCCCGGGCTTTCTTCCGCTTCCCGCCCCGCGGAGTGGAGCGGCACGATATCTGCTTGCAGGGCATGGCGTTTCGGCGGGGCCGCCGCTGCGACGCTCTAAACAAAAGCTCCAAGCTCCCGTTCGTAGAACATATGTGGACGATGCGCACGGCGCAGGAGAGAGGGCACGAGTGTGAAAAGGAGCTACCGTTCACCGAGGCCATGCCGGGAATTCCAAGCTTCATGGTGCTCCGTGCGGGGAGGTCTCAGGAGACAGCTTGATATTGAACAGAGGCCGCCTTCCAATGGATGAGGTCGAGGAGGTCGAGGTGGAGAGAGGAGGAGAGGCAGGAAGCAGGAGGGAGGAGAGGGTAGCGAAGATGCAGCAGCTCGACGAGGGGAGGGATGAAAGGATGGAGGATGCTGATAATTCGAATGCCAGACCAATCAGGGGGAATGATTTTCGTGTGGCTTCATCCTGCCAGGATATCGCCACGGTCTGTGCTTTAGCCGGCAGGCAAAATGTCAAAGTTGTGTCCGTCCGCTACACTTCACCAAACGGCGGCGAGCTTCCCCCAATGAGTAGCACAACGGTGTCAGTATCCCCATCGACGCACTTCCCAGAAGTACGAGCCCAAACCACGATGGCTGCGAGAACGAGAAGCCTTCCGCGCTCCAAGTACACAAAAATTCTGGAAGGCGCCTGGGCCTGCCACTGCCAGCAGCCTCTCCCCGTGTCCCTTTTAAATGGATGCTGTCCGAAGACAGAGGGGGAGAAGGAGATGGAGGGGGAAGAGTAGGAAGAGGAGGGGAGGAGGAGGAAGAGGAGGAGGAGGATGGTGGGGGGAACCTGAGGGGGAGAGGCAGAGGGGCCAGGAGGAGGAGGAGGAGGAGGAGGCGGAGAAGGGAGGAGGAGGAGGAAAATGAGAAGAAGGTCATATCCCCATTTCAGGCGGATGTCGGGGCACTCGTGGACACGGCGTGCGCCATCTGCGCCTTCGAGCGGAGGCCCAAAACCCTAGCCGAACAAGTTAAAACACCAGTTCGCGGGCGTTCCATCCTCCCAGTTCTCATCCAGCCTCCTCATCCGTCTCGTCGCCATCATGTTATCCTTATTTGTCCTGTTCTCCTCCTCCCTCTAGCTGCTCCGCCTCCTTCCCTCTCCTTCCTCGACGTCTCCGTCGTCCTTCTGCACTCCCACCTGCTCCTCGTCAACATCACCATATCACCATGTCCATCCTCTTCCTCATTATTATTTCTCCCCCTCTCCTCGTCCTCATCCTGCTCCTTCTCCTCCTCCTCCTCCTCCTCCTCATCCTGCCTCCTCCTCCTCCCCTTCCTCTTCCCCCTCTCCTCCTCCACCTCCTTCTCATCATTCCTCCTCCTCTTCCTTCTTCTCCTCCCTCCTCCTCAATTTGTTTTCTTTCTGGATAATTCCTCCCTGTCGCAGCCCGAGGCTGGTCGAAAGAGCGGGCCCTGGCATTTCGTTTGGGACTTCCTCACCGTTTGTGATCCTGAAGCTTCAGAAGTAGCAACAGTTTCACAGGTGTAGGGCGGGTGGTTTTCAAAATGTGGCAATCGCTTTAGCGCCGCGCACATCCTTTCTCATCTACGTACAAGAGCTTCACGGATTCAGGGCGGTTGTTCCTGCGCTAGCGCCGCGCACATTCGTTTTCCTGCATTTGCAAGAGTTTCACACTGATCCAGGGCGGGTGGTTTCAAAATGTGGTTCTCGCCTTAGCGCCGCGCGCATTTGTGTTAAACATGTGCCATAGTTCCATGGAGTCAAGGCGGGTGTTTTTCAACATGTGGTTCTGGCCTTAGCGCCGCGCACACTCGATTTAACAATTTGCAAGAGCTTCACGGGTTCCGGGCGGGTGGTTTTCAGCATGTGGTTCTCGCCTTAGCGCCGCGCGCATTCGATTTAACAATTTGCAAAAGTTTTACGGATTCAGGGTGGCTCGGCTTCAAAATTGTGTTATCGTTATAGCGGCGCGAACATTCGTTTTGATTTCAACACGTGGTTCCCGCTGTAGCGACGCGCACATTCGCTTTAAACAGTTGCAAGAGCTTCACGAATTCAGGGCCGGTGGTTTTCCAAATTCGGTTCTCGTTTCAGCGCCGCGCACACTAGTTCTTAACAGTTGCAAGAGTTTCACGGATTCAGGACAGGTGGTTTTCTAAATGTTGCTCTCGCCTTAGCGCCGCGCACAGTCGTTTAAAACAGTTGCACACGTTTCATTGAGCTGCGTGGTTAACGTACCAGAAAAGGTGCTCTGGTAAGACTCAAGATTGTCAAGGCGCAACAGCTACATGCATTCGCGGTGTTGATGTCCCAGGAATGGTGTCTTGGCACGGCTCTCGATCGCCAAGACGTAATCGCCAGGTTAATTCGTTGACGTCCTGAGAATGGTGTTTGGGCACGCTCCAGGATTTTCGCACGGTTCGCCGCCAACGGGACAATTCCCTCAGTGGAAATGGCCCTTGTATGGGGCCTAGGAAGAGGGAACTTGGAGAGAGGGTGTATTCCAACATCGTTGATGAGCTTTGGGTTTACATTGGTCCTCCTCCTCCTCCTCCTTCTCCTCCTCCTCCCCGGGTTGTCCATGAGGTCCTTTACCGAGCTTGTCAACGATTTCGGAGAGGTCCTGGGTTTAACCGTGTTTTCTCCCTCCCTCGTCAAAAAAAACCTGCGGGACGGAGTTTTGCGTCAGTTGCAGCGTGACTCAGGTCGCTCTTTAGGTCTCGGCGACAGGCTGTGTTACGACGTGGTGCAGGCAGCTCTGGTCTCTTCTAAGTTCAATGCCCTGGAGAAGGGCAGCATTCGAGGCATGTGCTGCGGTGCTACATGGTCACGCGATCGTGCTATCTCCTGTGTGTATCAGCTGGCCTCCAATGTGTGCCCGATGTGTCGTTCTGCTCCCGATTCGGTTTTTCACAGGATGTGGGTTTGCCCGACCGTCCAAGGCACGAGAGATGAGCTGGTGAAAAGCGATATCCAGGAGGCAGCCCGAGCCATCGACCCTGATTGCGCCGAGAGTGTTGTGTTGTACACTAGAGGCATGTTCCCTCACCCTGGTGACAAGTGGCCACGACCTCGTGATGCTGGCGATGTTATCGTGTCTGGGGCCGACGACCCCGAGCGGGTCGACACCAACGTCTCGGAGGACATCTTTATTGATGGTAGTTGTGGGAAGCACACTCTTCAGGAGTTGTCCAGAGCGAGCTGGGGGTTTACAGCCCTGTCAGATAATGGCTCCCGGTTGGTTTCCATCTACGGTCCCATGCTGGCCCCCTTCCCCAAAACTAGTCAGGCTGGGGAGTTTGGGGCCTTTGATTCCGCCTCCCAGTGCATCACTGGCCCCCCGAGGGGCCACTCGGACTGTTTAAACGTGGCTCGTGCTTTTGGGGAGCCAGGCCTCTGAAGCTCTCTTATAGGCGCCCTTATTCGGGCCTTATGTTCACCTCCCTTTCCGCGCAATGGGAGACTGTGCGCAAGGTCAAAGCCCACGTAGCTGACTACGCAGATCTCACTCCCGAGCAGGCCTTCAACAAGAAAGGCAACGACGCCGCCGACGCTGCGGCCAAGGCTGGCCTCGCTGTCCACCCCGCCCCATCACCGTCCCAGCAAGATGAGCTAGCTTTCAAGATTCGTGTTGCCAAGGCTGTGATTTGTTTAGGGGCCAAGCTCATGCCTTTGTGGCCCAGACTGGGCCTCACAGGTGTAGAGTTGGCCCGCTCTTTTAAGCCAGATAAGCAAGATAGTGTTTCAGGTTTTGCTCATGATTGGGAATGGTGCAGGTCCTATTGGCGCTGTCGTGTTTGCCTTAGGATCAAGAGGCAAAGTGATTTCGTGTTCGGTTCATCCCCCTGCCCCAACGTTGCTGGGTGCTCAGGCAATACCCCCGAGAGCCTCAACAATGTCGCTTCGTTGGGGCACATATTATTAGCATCCCAGCGCAGTGACGATTCCCCGCTCTTTGTTTGTGTATCGTGTAAGGCTGTGTCGACCCTGGGGCCCATCTCTCTGTTAGGGAGAGAATGCACCCACCCACCAAGGAATAATTTGGAGCGGTGGAAGTACAGAATCTGTAAAGGCAAGCACCCTAGGAGGCATGGTGTGACTCTGGAGGTTTCTCCTTTCGACGAGGCCCTCCTAGAGCCCCCCCTGGGCCAGCAGCCTGGTGATGCCGTCGCCTCGTCGTTACCTTCGGTTCCTTCGTCGTCGTCTTCTGGTGTGAGAAGTGCTGCTGGCCCAGGGCCTCTGATGATTCCAGTCTCCCCTGCGGGCCCGAACCCTGGTGCGCCTGTGGCGGCCCTCGGGCCCGTGAGGGGAGCAAAGTCCACGGGCGTGACGGAGGCGAACGCCCTCCCTTGCGCACTCCGCGATACGGCCACCCAGTCAGCTGCGTCTGGAGATGTTGGTCCGCCTTTTCCTTGTCCCCCCCCCCTCAATGCAGGGTTGGGGGAAGAGTGGCAGCTGCCTGCGGAGGTGCAGAACCTCCGAATGGAGGATGGTGTCCCTCCGCCTGAGCCAGCTGCCCGCGACAGGTCCGTGGCCTCCGTTTCCGACGATTCCGACTGACCTGCCGTTTTTGGTGTTTGGTGGTGCTCGTCCCAGCGTCGGCCACCGCTCATGTTTCTTTCATCGGTGCTGAATAGCTGGCTCCGAGTCACCTTGGCATCACATCATCCCCCAGGGCACGGTCCACGTGAAAATCCTCCTCCTCCTCCTCGTCCTCCTCCTCCTCCTCCTCCTCCCTACCTCCATGGGGCGGCTTTTCGGTTGCGGGGCGTGCCAAGTATTGGGGCACGTCTCTCGGACCTGAGGCTTCATTGGCCTGCCAATGGCTCGCCCCTGTGCAAACATGGTGGCAACGTGGTAAGTTGCTACAGCTCGTGCAGAGTGGCAGTGGCGCCACCGTTCGCTTATATGATACATCAGTGCTGACTACGCTTAGCGATGTCTCGCAGTTCTTCCCCCTTGATGCTTCCATTGCACGCCGTGAACTGCATATATTCCACAAGATGCTGAGCTTGCCGCCGAACTCTTTTCGCAAAGTAGACCTGAACGCCATGGCGGGCTGGAGCCCGCCACCAGTCATCCAATCTGCCCAAGTCCTACCTGTCGCTTCTGCTGCCGGTTCTGCCGCTGTGACGCTCTCAGGTGCCTGGGAGCATTTCGCCGATCGCCTCGCCGACTTGTCGTGGGAAGAAACAACTTTACAGGATGCACCTCGGTGGCAAACTGGTGCATGGTCGCCGCCCTCTTGGTCATCACAGACATCGATCGTACAGTACTACCGATCACTGCTTCGCAACGAATCTCAGCCGCCGTTATCTAGCCAGTCTGTCGCCGCTGCCGCTCGCGCCGCACGGCTCGAACAGAGAGGCTGCCGCTGCGAGCCCACCTCGCCGTATCAAGTTTCAGCGCAACTATGCAAACAAGCTCTATGACTTGACTTTTATGTCGCCGTTCACGGTTACGCTTGCTAAACGGCTGTCCTCCTGGGGCTTCCAGGCGCCATCGGCACCCGGAGAACTCCGGAAATGCTGGGACTCCCTGGCGGACACACTCAAACAAATGCGCCCGAGCTGGCGCTGGGCAGCTTTCAAGACCCTCAGCAGCGGGTGGTCGACCACCACTAAAATGCACGTTTTTCAGCAGCGCAAGTGCCCGTTCGGCTGCGTCGACGCGCCTGACTCCTTCCCGCACACTATCTCTGCTGCCCCGCCCTTTCGAAGCTCCTCTGGCTCCCTGACCCCCCCTCATCCAATCGACGCTGACGGTCTGGGGACTTGGCCCCGCTGCAGTGTACTCGGCCGACGCGGCCAGTACAATGTCACTGCCAGCGACGGTCTCGAGGATCGCGCTGGCTTTTCATATTTACAACAAGATGAAGTTCACTGCTAGCGCCCGTGCAGCTTCTGTTTTGCAAGCAGATCTAGTCGCTTCGCACCGCTCAGCACTCGCATTACTATACAGGTAGAGAAGCTAGGCCCGAGCACGCACCTGCAGAGATGAATTATGTTGCCCTCTTCTTGCTCGTGCTCGTGACCGCCTGCCCTCTTCCTTTCTTCATGGTGCCCAAACTCCTCCTCATCCTCCTCCTCCTCCCTCCTCCCTCCTCCCTTCTCCTCCTCCATCCTCCCTCCTCATTCCCTTCCGCAACGCTCCCATCCATTTCCTGGGGGACGGAGAGTCCGCTGGGCGCCCCTCGCGCCGTGCGGGCGTCGCCCTTGCGGCGTCCCCGGCAGGAAGGGCCTCGACTACCCGCCGAGGCCGCTCGAGGAGGCCGACAGCGGCGCGTATGCGGCCGCCGCCCTCGACCAGGTTACCGTTGTCAGCTCCCCCTCCAGTTCCTTGTCCTTCTCCTCCTCCCCCTTCCCCACTCCCCCCCCCGCCTCGGCCTGGTCCCCGTCCGCCTCGTCGTTCTCTTATCGCTCTCTTCCTGTGCCCTCGCATATTCTCTCTCCTATTGATGCCGCGGCTCTTGCACGTATCCCTATCCTCCGCCACCTCATGCCATGCCGTGAGGAGGAAGAGGAGGAGGAGGAGGAGGAGGAGGAGGAGGAGGAGGAGGGAGGAGGAGGAGGAGGAGGAGGAGGAGGAGGAGGAGGAGGAGGAGGAGGGAGGAGGAGGAGGAGGAGGAGGAGAGGGGAATCGCAAAAGGGGCAGCACCAAGGAGCAGCAGGAACCGGCGTGGGGGGGGGGGGAGGGGCGGGCCCCGCAGCGGGGCAGCGGCATGAGCAGGAGCCGCAGCAGCGGCAGAGTGAGGAGCGCCAGGCGATGTCGGCGGCGCAGACGAGGCTCACGTCCATATGGGGCAAGGTCCGCGCCGCGGGCGCCGAGGCTGCCGCACAGGCACCAGCCTGGGCGCAGCAGGCCCGCGCGACGGCCAAAGAGGTCGCCGCCTCGGCCGCGGTGGTGGCCGCATCCGCGGCCGACCAGGCCGCGGCGGCGGCGTCGGCGGGCATCGACCAGGCCGCGGCAGCGGCGTCGGCGGCCATCGAGGCCTACGAGAGGACCCACAAGGAGTCCGAGGCGGGGGTTAGTGGGGCCAAGGTACACGACCGAGGTCGGTCTGGGGGGTACCCTGATGTGTTTCGTGATTGTTGGATGCTCTTGTGCATCCTTGAGAGGGTACCCTCGGATGTTCTGTGTGCTTTGTCCGGCGGAGGGTCTCACGAGCGACGCCAAACATGGGGCCGTCTGCGCCGACAGTGTCGCGCAAGCTGCTCGCGTAAGGTCGCACGTGGGTGCCCTCGGTTCCCATGCAGCGTGCCACGCTGGCGGCCCGCGCAAGCCGCCGCGTAGGGTCGCCGTGCCATCTCGCGCAAGACCCTTTTTTGTGATCGTCGCCCTCCTGCTCTTGAGGGATGCTCTTCTGCCCTGGGCCCGACTGCATCAGTGGCCGCCGCCCGGGGGCATCGGGCCTCGGCGGCCGCCGGAGGCGGGGCTCGGCCCGCTGCTCGTGGGCGCAGGGCGGCTCCCACGGTCTCCGCGGCCGGATTCGGCTCGGCGCGCTCGTCGTCCCCTGGAGGCTGCCGGGGTGAAGTTTCATTGCATGCCACCGCTCGGGTGGCAAACACGGGGTGACTCCACGCTTGCGCCAGGGAGCCTATTTCGAGCACGCACTGGTCTGAGACGCTTGGCGTAACCCTGGATGAATTGTATACTCGGGCCCCCTGGTGCCCGAAGAGTAGTAAACTCGGCTCCCGTGGGGCTTGGCGTGTCACTCTGCCGGTTCTGGTCCACCACGCTTCGGCGCGGCACTCGATCCACGCCCCCATCCCCGAGCGTCAACGTCCCGAGCTGTTCCCAGACCCCTGGTAGCGTGGAGCGGAGCGACGCGCTGTCCACTCTTCGCAGGGCGCAGCGTGTCGCCAGGGCCGCCGCCACGGCACGCTGAGCTGAAGCTCCTGACCGTATCCACACCCACCAGGCGGTGGATTCGGGGGCAACGATAGGGGGGGATAGGCATGGGGGGGGGTGCATCGACCCCCAATCGCCCATTCATCGCCGATAGGGGCCCGATGGCCCCACCCCGCCCATGAAGGTGCGGATTCGCTATCGGGGGCCTATCGCCGACCCATCGGCGATGTATCGCCGATTCCAGGTCGATGCATCCCCCCTTATGCCAGTCCCCCCCGATCGTTGCCCCTCATGGATATGGATGGGGAGCTTAGCTGCCCTGACACGCCCGCGTTAAAAGGCAACACGTACCGTGTTCAGAACATCCGAGGTCATACGCTGCGTGCTACAGTCGGCTCGGCACGCGTTGGTCCACGTTCTGGCGAGGGTATCGCGCCATTCCTGCGTTTTCGGTCTGCGCCTTGAGCTCCGTGTCTGCACGCCACGTGCTGCGTGTTGCGCATCGGGGCAGCTACGGGAGGCAGTGTCAAGACCTCCGCCGCGAAGGCCTCCATAGGCCGGCTCTCAGCACCAGTGTCGGGCCGTCCTGGGGCCCCCCACGGGGCCCGGCGGCGGACATCTACATACTCGGGCCCCCTGGGACCCGAATATTCGGTCAGGAACTTTGGCTCCGCGCGTCGCTCCTTGCACTCTGGCACACCACGCTGAGGCGTGTGTGGAGGAAACGTAAGGCTCCTGTGCGCCAGAACTCGAGTTTTCCGACGCTTTTTGACGAGCGCGTCTGGCATTTTGTCGGTTCAGTGTTCGTGGGATGTGCTTGCAGTGGGAGGTCGCATCAAATTTCAGATCAGGTCTCGTCATTTTCATGATGGCCCCGTCAGGCTAACCCGAGCCCCCCGAACCCGAGTCTTACAGTCGGACCGAGGTATTTGATCGAGGCCGGTTCGGGGAGGGTGCCTTGGTGTTCTTCGTGTTTACTTGATGTTCTAGTGCATCCTGGGGAGGCTTCCCTAAGATGTTATGTTTGCTTTGGCCGACGGAGGGTCTCAGGGATGTTCTTCTGGCCCAGGTCCGACTGCACGTCTCCCCGAATGTGGACCAGCCCCCGCCTCGCAAGGAGGGCGCCGAGGGCCAGCCGCAGCAGGGCCCCCAGCCCGGCGCGGCGGGCGCCGCGGCGGCCGCGGCGGTGCAGGCCGCCGAGCGGGCGGAGGGCGGCGGCGCGGCGGCGGGCGAGCCCGCCGAGGCCGCGGCGGCTGCGGCCGCGCGGGGCTCGGAGCTCGACCCCCCCCCCAAAAAAATACAAAAATACAGATAAACAACAACCAAACATAAGCTTTTGGAGCTCCGCGCGGATTCCTCTAGGCCTCCCAGATGGGGTCCGAGTAGATGGGGTCGGAGGGTCGCGCCGCATCGCCGATGCATCGCGCGGCGATGCATGCATCGGCGATGCATCGTCGATGTTTGCGATGCATCGGCGGCGTCGGCGTGGAGAAAGTCGGGCTCCACATCGAGCCGCAACGCCGATGCATCTGCGATGCGGCGCGATCCTCCAACCCCATCTACTCGGACCCCATATGGGAGGCCTCTAACTTCTTGGTTCGGCGCTCGGCCCACTTGCGCGCTCCGCGCGCCAGGGAGGGAAGCTCCAGCGCCGACCTAAGAAATCCGCGCGTAGCTTGGAAAACTGATACGTATATATATATATATATATATGTATATATATATATATATATATGTGTGATTGTTTGTTGCTCCCTCCTCCAGGAGCCGGAAGGGGCACCGCCACTGCTCGTGGAGGCGCCGAAGTGAGCGGCAGGGTGGTGGCGCGAAGAGGCACGGGGGGCGCAGTGGGAGAGGCGAGGCCTCCCAGGCGGGGTCGGCGGACGGGGTCGGAGGATCGCGCCGCATCGCCGACGCATCGGCGATGCATCGGCGGTGCGGCCCGATGTGGAGCCCGAGTACCTCCGCGCCGACAGCGCCGCATCGCCGACGTCGGCGGAGCGTCGCCGATGCATCGGCGACGCATTGGCGATGCGGCGCGATCCTCCGATCCCGTCTACTCGGAGCCCAGTCAGGAGGCCTCCAGAGAGGCGAGCCTGCTCTTATCTTCAGTAACTCGACAAAGAAATGCGGACCACTTCCGCGGGGGGCCCATCGGTAGGGGGCCGACCCCTGGACGGTGTCACGCCCGAGCGTCGCTCAGCACAGGACGACTCCCAGGCGTCGCGCGTCGGCTAAGTGCAGGAGTTGCTGTTCTGACGGTAACCCGCGGATGTCTCATTTTTTTGTTTACAGGGTCGCCCCCCCCGATGGGTCCTCGGTGGTCGTGGTCCACGTTTCTCCTCTGAGCCACACAGCGCCACGAGACCGGGGTGGCTTCCGTCAGCTTTGCCTCGTCGAGAGCGTTCCTGGGGTGCTGAAATCGTCCCGAACCCGCTGGAGGCCCGAGCCTTGGCCCGAAAGCCAGGGATACGGTCGGGAACTTTTGCTCAGCTTGTCGCGGCGGCGGCCCCCGGCGACGCGCCATGCTCTGCATACTGATAGTTGATAGCGTGTCGCTCCGCATCGCGGGCCGAGAGGTTGGGAAAGGTTCGGGACCCTGACGTTCGGGGACCGGACGTGGTCAGCGCGTCGCGCCGAAGCGTGGTGAACCAGAGCTGGCGGCGCGACACACTAAGCAGAAGTTCCCAACCGTAAGAAGCGAGCTTCGCGGTGCATCGAAAATATTGGAAGCGGTCGTGTGCCTGGGGTGATCCAGGCAGGCTGGTGGCCAAAATAAGGAGCCCAGCCTGTCAGCAGGTACCCGACGGAAACGTCTGGATCCCAGAGGCCCCAGGGGGTCAGCAGGAGTATTGGGGCCGCTCAGGAAGGTCAAAGATGGAAGGTGAATGTGCCTTGGGTTTCGCATGTTATTGATGTATACATATCACCCTGGTGAGATACAGATATACACATGTATAAATGTATTCGCATGTGTCTATTGTGCCTACCTTCTGCGGCGCACGGCATGGGGTCGGTCGTGGGTCCAGCTTTCTAAGAGGGCACGGGGCTTCTTAGAAGTCCCCCATCTTCAGCGACGTCTCCATAAAAGCTTTCGACACCTTCTGAGAACCCCCTTGCCTCCTTAGAGAGGCGCCCCCCTCACACACACACACACACACACAGACACACACACACACACATACACAAACAAACAAACAAACGAACGAACAAACAAACAAACAATATATATATATAGACACAAAGACACACACACACGCACACACAAGCATACGCACACGCACACACGCACATGCATGCATGCATGCATGCATGCATACATGCATGCAACCATACGTTCATGCATGCACACATGCATACACACAACCATGCATGTATACACACACACATACAGTGTCACATACACATACACACATACGCACATACACATACACGTAGACACACACATACAAGCATGCATGGATATATATGTGTACATACACACGTACATACATACACACATAGATACACACTTACGCGCATGCACACATGCATACATACACATCGACATACATACATAACATTATACACATATACAAGTATACATGTATACCTACATGTAATCTAGCACACATATATACACAACCACACACATACATACATACAGACAGACAGACAGACATGCATACAGACATACACACAAACACACATACACACACATACATCTATGTACATACATACATACACACACACACTCAGACACACACACACATACACACACACACACACACATACGTGGTCCTTCCGCGCGCCGCCAAGACCTGGTTTACGACCCACCGTTTTCCGTTAGAAGCGCCCGCTTCGGTCGTGCCGCGATTTGCCTCGGGGAGCGTTGGGATGTCGCAGGGGTGTGCGCTCCTCCCGTGCTGATTTGGTGCAGGACGCTTGTTTTTAGCCGGCGCACGCTGAGCTTACCGTAGTCGTGGTCAGGTTGAGTTGCCATTCAAAAGCGCCAGCATATCGCATCATCTTGGTGGTGTGCACGTATGGTTTTGTCACTGTGCGAGTTTGAAGCTTGGCAGTTGCAAGCTTCACTTTGTCAAGAGAGCTGTCCGAACAAGTCGCATCGGTCGGGCGACGTTGAATTAGAAGAACGGACCTCTTACGGATTACCCTGTTCTTTCTTTTGGCCCCTCCCTCCCTCCTACCTACCTCCTCTCTGTTTCTCCTATCTCCCGCCCTCCTTCTCCGCCCCCCCCCAATCCGCAAGGGTTCCTCCCTGGCGGCAAGGACCCCTCGAAGGCCACTCTTGGCCGCGAGGGAGGCATCATCTGGCGGGAGTGGAGGCCAGCTTCCGTGATGGCCCGCTTGGTTCTCTCTCTCTCTCTCTCTCTCTCTCTCTTTCTTCATGTGAGCGCGCTGCCGCACTCTGGTTCCCAGCGGTTTTCAGTGAATTACTCCTCCACCCTATCAGAATGTGTGGCTTCCCACCCAGTCTTCACCAGTCTTCATGCAATCAGAGTCCATGAGCTCCGCCTGGCATCGACAGGGCCTTGCCTGTCCTCAAAGGCATATGTTGAGAAGGCTTAGGTTTGCACACAGACAGACCCCCCGGTATCTGGAGCCAATGTCTCGGCCGCATGGGCAGGACAGTTCTGCTACATTGCCGTGGCTACGCCCGTTATATTTAATCTGCATTGGTCAAGGTCTTGCGTGTTGGCTCGCCTATTGCAGGTTGGCCATCAGGTGATTCTGGGTTTGCCTGGTGCATGTGTGTTGGGCACTACTGTTGGGGTAGTTGTTGAGGCGGAGCGTCCCAGGGGCGCCGCCAGCGGCGGCGCCAGGGTGTTGAGACTGGCTCGGGCTACTAGGGGAGGCCTGGTGAGGCCAGCTGGGATTACCTGCGGGGGCTGTCTGCGCGCAACCCGAAGCCTCACCAGGCATCAGCGCTACACTACAACGCATGCCCCCCCCCCATTCCGCTCCTCGGAAGCATCATGCTGCGATACGCGTGGAGACTCTATACGGGGAGCGGCCTCAGAGGGGGACGATGCCGCAGCGCCCTCCTGACCACGCGTACGCCTAACGATTGATATTATCCCCTCTCTTGTCCTCTTTCCCCCCCTCGTGGCCCTCTGCTCCCTCCAGCTCCGTCACTGCTCCTCCTGCCTGCTCTCTTCTCCCTTCTCATCCCTCCTCCCCATCTTTACTGTGCCCTCCTCCCCCATTCACTGCTCCACCCTCCTCCTCATCCCTCTGCAAAGCGAGGGCTGGTGGGCGCCGCCGCCGCTTTGCTTACACGTCTTCGCCCGTGCCGCGAGGCGTCGCAGCAGGCAATCCAGGTAATCACCTTCTCCCCCCTCCTCGTCATCATCCGCAACCCCCTGCCCTCCCTCACTCTCTGCCTGCTCTTCTCTCACTCCTCCTCCTCCTTTTTTCCCCCCTCCTTCCTCTTCTCATCATTATCATTGTCCTCCTCCTCCTCCTCCTCCTCCCTCTTCTTCCTCCTCCTCCTCCTCCTCCTCCTCCTCCTCCCTCCTCCCTCCTTCTCCCTCTCTCTGCTCCTCCTCCTCCCCTCTCCTCCTCCTCCTCCTCTGCCTCCTCCCTCCTCCTCCTCCTCCTCCTCCTCCTCTCCTCCTCCCCTCCTCCTCCTCCTCCTCCTCCTCCTCCTCCTCCTCCTCCTCCTACGTCCCTTTCCGTGTCGCGCCCCCGGACATGTCGGCAGGGCGGCCCGAGCTTTTCGCCCAAGACCTCATGTGCAACGAGAACGAAGCTTGAAATTTGCAGCCGCTTCAAAGAGGGAGGGCGGCCCGTCTTCAAAATGTGGTTCTCGCCGTGGCGCCGCGCATATTCGTTTCAGAAGTTTGCAGCCGTTTCGAAGATGGAGGGCAGCCCGGTTTCAAAACGTGGTTCTCACCCTAAAAATTCACAAAAGCTTCAAGGATTGAGGGCGGTTCCTTTTGAAATCGTCGCGCACACTCGTGTTAAACGCTTGCAACAGTTTCAAGGAGTCGTATGGCTGACGTCCCAGGACTGGTGCTCAGGCATGATTTCGGATTGCCAGTGCCCGAAAGTCACGTCGCTTCGCGGCATTGCGGCACGGCTGAGGATTCTGGGACGACTGTCTCCCAACAGGGCACTTCCGCAAGGAATTTACATCCTTGTAGGAACTTACGAAGGGGAAGTTGCAAGGGTTGTTTGCAACATCGGTGATGCGCCTTGGGTTTATACTTGTCCTTCTTCCTCCTCCTCCTCCTCCTCCTCCTCCTCCTCCTCCTCCTCCTCCTCCTCCTCCTCCTCCGTCTCCGCGTCCTCCGCCTCCTTTTCCTCCTCCTCCTCCTTCTCCCTCCTCCCCCGTCGGAACCGCGCCGGGTTTTTTGTGGATCCCCGAAGGAGGCGAATTCCAAGGGGCAATGTCACGGCACCCTCCAGACAACATGTGCGCTCCCCCCGCCCCCTTCTCTCGTCCCCTCCTCTCCCACCGCAGCCCACCCCAGCTGTCTGAAACGCTGCCTTCGTGGCGGGGGTTCAAGCTTACAACGAGCTCCTGGCGGTTCGGGACCCTGGCCGGGAGGAGGTGCCCACCACCCGTCCGTTCGTAATCCGCCGACGGGGAGGGGCCATGTCTCGCCTGAAGCTATCACAGTCGGAGCGTCGAAAATGTAAACTCGTTGTTTCGGAAGGAGATCAGTGTTCATATGGTTTCCCGGTTGGCTCCAGCAGAAAGTCTCCGCATGATGTCGGGCAAGAGAGGGTATTCTCGTTCCGCACTTCTGGTTATTTGGTTTTTGACGCCATGCCTGTGCCAACCAGTGCTCAACACGATCTTCTGGCATTAAGAAAACAGAAGATATGACCCAGGGTCCCTCGTAAAACCCCAGTGCAGCTTCCCATCGCACAACCAGTACCTGGGAGGCCTCATCAAAATATTCCGCGGTCTGAGGGAGGAACAATGGAGAAGGACGGGAGCAGGGGAGGATGGAAAGAAACTGTACGTTTCATTTGAGATTTTAGGGAGGTGTTCGGGAGCTTGTGCGCGAATTCTTAGACCACGAGCTTCCTCACTTTATTTAATCGCTTCGCTCATTCCGCCGGCCCTGTAGCGCTTTTGGGGGCCTCTTGGGGCCGTCTTGGGGGCTTCTTGGGGGCTTCTTGGGAGCGTCTTGGGGCTCCTTGGCGGCGTATTGGGCTCCCCTGGGGCCTCTTGGGGGGCTCTTGGGGGCCCCTTGGGGCGGGAGGGGGGGTAGTCGATTGCAGCCCCCCCCTTCGGAGGCCACGATCCTCGTGAGGGGTGGCGAAAAATAGCCTCCCCATGGGGATCGCCCGGGGATCAGCTGGGGATCGGCCGGGGTATTTTTCGTCCGGGGCCCCCCAGGGGCCGCCCCGCGCGCGCCGCGCGAACTAGAAATATTGTTAAGTAGTTACCGGAGATCTTAGCACGCCTCTGGCCCGTTGGGCCAGCGAATTCCAAGATGTGTAGACGAAAGAGACTACGTGGCTACCGCCTCTTGAGCCATTTCCGATCCATGCGTTGAGCTCCGCTGCCCTTATCCCTCCTGGACCCTCTCCGATGTAAGTATCCTACCTGCTCCCGTCGTTCATCCCCGCCATGTGCATGCTTCATGTTGCCGGCCACCGGTGAGGAGACCCGGGAGCGCAAGAGCACTGCCTTATGTTGGTGCCCTTGCAGACGACGGTTCTGTGGGCACCGCAGCCGTCATAAGGCGTGAGGCGAGCTCGCGCGCTTGCGTGCTCTCTGCACCTTTTTTTCCAGCTGCCACGTCGTCGATTTGCCAGTGCCCTAGGCTGTTCAGCGCACGTCTGACACGTGCGCCACCATCCGGATCCACGCTCTGCCTCGGAAGCCCACCCCCGCCCCCCCGCCGTTTCTTGCGCTTCTGAGGGTCGCGCCGTACAGCGGGAGGAGAAAGCACGGCACTGCGAAGTAGAATGCTTCTCTCGTGGGAGAGCCCAGGCAGCCGTGAAGCAGCACGAGACACCACGACAATTGCGAATCATTATGGTTATCTCGTCTGAAGGCCCTGGCTATGGTAAAGTGCGAGAAAAAAACACGGGGCTGCATGTTACATTGCTCGTTTTGTCTGAAAGCCCTGGCGGCCCCAAAGGAGGGCAGAACACCACAGGCAGCTTCGGCTCCGCCGCCACACCGCGTGCTCGATAGCTGGCTTCGGCTCCGCCGCCACGCCGTTTCCTTCACACGTTGGCGCGTGCGGCGCTGGGAGGCGCCGGAGAAACGAGCTATGTTAGCTGAGTCGCCAGCGCCCCTTCGCCAACCCCCCCCCCCTTGTCGCCCGCCCCGATAGGGAGAAGGAAGCAGGGAGAAGGAGGTGGGGAGCGGAGGGGGGAGGAAAGAGTGAAGAGAAGGAGGTGGGGAGGAGGAGGAGGAGGAGGAGGAGGAGGAGGAGGAGGAGGAGGACGAGGAGGAGGAGGAGGACGAGGAGGAGGAGGAGGAGGAGGAGGAGGAGGACGACGACACTCCCTCTCCCTCTCCATGCCGCCCCCTCCTCCCTCCCCCCGCCTCCCTGCCTCCGTTGCACGTCCCTTCCCCCGCACTCGTCTTCGCTGGTGGCTCCAGGGGGGGCGGGCGGCAGGATGGTGGGCACGAGCGCGAGGGTAGGCGGGCAGGCGGCGGCGGCGACGGAGGGCGTGGAGAGCGCGGAGCTGAGTGGCTGCAGTGCTGGGGTGGGCGAGAGAAGGAACGAGGAAGGGGCAGGGGGGAAGGTAAAGGGAAGAAACAGGAGGAGGAGGAGGATTTCGAGGGAGGAGGAGGAGGAGGAGGAGGAGGAGGAGGAGGAAGAGAACGAGACAGAGACGGTAGAGGACAGAGGGGGAGGAGGAGGGAGGAGGAGGAAGACGGAGGAAGCAGGGGACGAGGAGGAGGGAGGAGCGAGGGGGAGGAAGACGAGGGGGACGCATCGGTTGCAGCCAACCCTAGCCGGAGCAACGGCAAAAGGAGGGGGAGTCTCTCAGTGTTTCTCTCCCCTCCCCCAGGCTAAGGGGGCGAGACGCCTGAGGCGACGCCCCTCCACTGCAACCCATCCCTCCCCTGCACCCTCTCCATCCCTCTCCCTCCTGCCCCCTCCCCTCCCCCCACTTCCCGATCCACTTCCTTCACCCCTCCCCTCCTAGCGGTCCATCCCTCTGGTCCGTTTCCTCCAATCCCTCCACTCCCTCCATCCCTCCTTCCTTGACTCGGACCGTCCAGCAGTCCTTGTGAGAGGTCTCGGCAGTTGTCAGTTGTGCCCCCCGAGCCACAAGTAGCGATTTCAGAAAGAGCCCTTCGGCGTGCATCACAACCAGCAAACACACCAAGCTAGGGCGTTCAAGACCACTCGCCCCTCCCATCGCTAATCATAGACATGACTGTGGACAAGGAGGAAGTTGGGCCATCACATTGATATAGTAGCACATTCCCTGGGCACTCATCTCGATACACAACCGTCGGTCGCATACACCTACGACTGGGCGTCGTAGGCCGGGGGCGGATGTTTTGCAGTATTATGTGTATGTTCGTCCTCGGTAGCCGTCTTCTTTTCTGTGCTTATTCGTACTACTGCTATTCTTTCTTTCCTCCAGATAGGCTTGCCCTATAGGGTATCCAGCTCAAACCCTACTATTTGGTCCGTTGCACCTCCCCCCCTAATTCATATGCCCCCCCTAATTTCTATGGCCATGCCTATGCCTATGCCTCCCCCCTAACTCCTATGCCTACGCCTATGCCTATGCAACACCTCTGAGCGATCCTATGCCTATGCCTATGCACCACCTCTGAGCGATCCTCCGCCTATGCCTATGTCAGAGAGCGCGTTTGCTTGCTTGTTTGCGCGCTTGCACGTGTGCTTGCTTGTGCGCTTGCACGCTTGCTCGCTTGCGCGCTTGCTTGCACGCTTGCTTGCTTGCTGACTTGCGGATTCCAAGCATGCTTGATTCCTCTGATGATTTGATTTGATTCGTCTACTCTATTTGGAGTCAACGCTGGCTGGTATTAGTCTTCATAGTTTTAGTCTTATCGTTCCTCGAACTAGTATTATTATTATCCTGGTGATGATCGAGTGGTTTTCGGCCCATCCCGCCACCGTGCTTGGGTTGTGGATCAGAGTTCTTAGGGATGCTTCTTCGGGCGTCTTCGGAACGCTCTCGGGGTCTTCTTGGGAGCAGTTTGGGGGCCTCTTGGGAGCCTCTTGGGGGCCTCTTGGGGCCTCTCGGGGGCCTCATCGGGCCTGTTGGGGGCCTCTCGGGACCTCCTGGGGGCCCCTTGGGGCCGAGGGCTCGAAATGTCCGTTCGGGTTCTCTTTGGGCCCTCTTGGGCCGTATTAGGCACCTTGTGGGCCGTTTTGGGGCCCTCTTGGGCCGTTTTGGGTGCCTCTTCGGGGCGTCTGGTGCCGTTTTGGGGCGATCTTGGGGGCCGCGTGGGCAGTCTTGGAGCGTCGGGAAGCCGAAAAGACGAGAACGCCAAAATCCGTAAAAAAAATAAATAAAGAGAAATCAATGATGTTGGCCTGTTGTGGCCCCCTTGGGAGGTCTCTTGGAAGCCTCGTGGATGTCTTGGAGGCCTCTTGGACCGTCTTGGGACCGCCTTGGGCGTCTTGGAGCGATCTTTCGGCGACCTGGAGCACCCTTAGACTATTTTCGGTATGGTTGGGGCTCTCTTAGCGCGTCTTGGAGCTCTCTTAGGCCCACAAAGTCATGCGACAAACCGCGGGGAACTGCGACAAGTCCAAGAAAATGCGAGAATTCGGGGTCCGGGCCCTGAGGAGTGAGGATTAAGGCTTCGAGGATTGAGCAAAGGACCTGAGGAAACGCCCGCTCCGTGCCCAGCGGCACGGTGGCGGATTTGCATGGTCATTCTTGGTAGTAGTCGTGTTTTTCGTTTTAATTGTTCTTTCTCAAGCTGTTGTTGTTCCCAATCAGTGCTTCCACTGAAGGGGTCCGAGCGGAAGTCGAAAGATTTGGCGAAAGTTTCCCGCCGATTTTGGTAGCAGGCTGGGTTCCCGGGTTACCGGTTATTGGTTCCGGGCCGATTTCGGTGGGTTCTGGGTTCCCGGGCTCTCGGGTTCCCGGTCGATCTCCTCAGCGAAAACCATCCACTGATTAGGTTTTTTTTCTCTGGTGTAATTTGTTTTTTTTTCTCAAGTTGTTGTTCCCAACCATCCTGTGGTGCTGGGTCCTCGTTTTGAAGAGACGGTGCCCCGCGTCTCCTTCCTTCCTCCCGCTGCCCTCTCCCTCCTCCTCCTCCTCGTCATCGTCATCGTCATCGTCATCATCGCCATCATCATCATCATCATCATCATCATCATCATCATCATCATCATCATCATCATCATCACATCATCACATCATCACATCATCATCATCATCATCATCATCATCATCATCATCATCATCATCATCATCATCATGATCATCACCATCGCCATCGTCAGCGCCGCGCCACTCACACGTTTTCGTGGCCCCATAGGGAGCTCCACCGAAGGCCCCAGTGGCTGCGCTCGCATGCGGTTCCACCCCCATTCTGGCACACCCCTCACACGTTTCGTGGCCCCATAGGGAGCTCCACCGAAGGCCCCAGTGGCTGCGCTCGCATGCGGTTCCACCCCGCATTCTGGCACACCCCTCACACGTTTCGTGGCCCCATAGGGAGCTCCACCGAAGGCCCCAGTGGCTGCGCCCGCATGCGGTTCCACCCCCCATTCTGGCACACCCCTCACACGTTTCGTGGCCCCATAGGGAGCTCCACCGAAGGCCCCAGTGGCTGCGCCCGCATGCGGTTCCACCCCCCATTCTGGCACACCCCTCACACGTTTCGTGGCCCCATAGGGAGCTCCACCGAAGGCCCCAGTGGCTGCGCCCGCATGCGGTTCCACCCCCCATTCTGGCACACCCCTCACACGTTTCGTGGCCCCATAGGGAGCTCCACCGAAGGCCCCAGTGGCTGCGCCCGCATGCGGTTCCACCCCCCATTCTGGCACACCCCTCACACGTTTCGTGGCCCCATAGGGAGCTCCACCGAAGGCCCCAGTGGCTGCGCCCGCATGCGGTTCCACCCCCCATTCTGGCACACCCCTCACACGTTTCGTGGCCCCATAGGGAGCTCCACCGAAGGCCCCAGTGGCTGCGCCCGCATGCGGTTCCACCCCCCATTCTGGCACACCCCTCACACGTTTCGTGGCCCCATAGGGAGCTCCACCGAAGGCCCCAGTGGCTGCGCCCGCATGCGGTTCCACCCCCCATTCTGGCACACCCCTCACACGTTTCGTGGCCCCATAGGGAGCTCCACCGAAGGCCCCAGTGGCTGCGCCCGCATGCGAGCCGTTCTGGCTCAGACCTGTTTCAGGTGCTGAGCTTGCAGCAGCAGGATTCAGAGCGGCAGTCGCTGCTGCGAGTCATCGCCCTTTGTGGCTACTTGTTTCAGGCCGAACACAGGCCCCAGTTCCCTCGCCCAGTCACTGGGCTTCCATGGCAAATGGCGGAGGCGGCGCTGGAGATGTTCTGGCGGGCCCCCGCTCTCCCACATGGGCATGCGGATCCTGTGGGAGGAACGCTAATTGGGCGTGCCGCATCACATGTCTATGTGGCGAGCGTGCACCAGCAGATGTGGTTCGTCGTGCTCGTGAGCGTGCTGGCGGTGCTGCGGAGCGTGGGCCTCTTAGACGTCGCGCACCAGCGGGAACCGACCCGCTCCAGCAGAAGATCGACGCGCTGCAGAAGAAGTACGACGCGCTGGTGGCCGAGAGCAATGGAGTTCCCCCGCCCGCGGCCACCTCTTCCACGGAGAAGGAGCTGTCTCCCGCAGACAAGCTCAAGGAGAAGATCAAGCAACTTGAGAGCTCACTTGCAGCGTGCAAGTTGCTGCCTGATGAGGTTGGTAAGGAAGCTT